GAGTTTCTGCACATAGACATTATAAAACTCCTTCCCATTCGTTTGCAAGTTTCTCGGGCATCTTCCGCTCTCTCGAATTATCTTAGCAATAGCGTTAGCCGTCTCGCTTCCGATCTTGCTCTTGAGCGGTATGGCTCAGGCGTACTTGCTCAATGCATCGATGACAGTGAGTATGTAGTGATGATCTCTGTTGAAACTCGAGTACGGACACATCTTGACGATATCAGCCTGCCATAAATCGTCACATTCGCGAATTATGACACGTCTTCGCGGAAAATTTTTTCTCGCCGGAGCGTGCATTCCTCAACGAGTCGTCGCCTCTCGGAGCTAACATTTTTTTCACGTCCATCGGATTTTGATTTCATGTTTCGACGATGTTTAATAGTAAATAAGATATACTATTTAAAATTGTTTTTCCTCACTGACGTCAATCGACTGGCTCGTTTCGTCGATACGCGATTAATTTATAATAATGTCGGCTTCGCGAAGTTCCTCGATGATCGATAGCATTTCATTGTCGTGAGCGTTGTGACCAGCTCGGTGCGAAGCGTCGAGCAATCGGAGTCGATCCACCAGCTCGTTGGGATCGTCCCAATGCATGTAATCGATCTTGTTGTTGTTTAACCTTCATGGTGGATGGTATATTGTTCACACTTGCACTCTTTTTACTGTTTTTCTTATATGTAGATATGAGTGGAGTGATGATGTTAATGTACTTGTATCCTTTGTTGCCTATGATGAATAACATTATTAATTACTATCTTTTTTTAATTAACTAATTAACTATAATATATAAATAAAAAAAATATTTCGCATATTTAATACAATTATAAGCGCTGTAACCACACCTATGAGCATTCGTTGTTAACAGTATACTTTTATACGTTTGTTTATCATCTTCGATGAATATAGCCTCATCGGGAAGTCTCTTGAAGATCAATTCGTATAATCCTGATGTACCATCGTATCTCACATTGTGTGTCTCATCTTTGTCAATGTCAAACTTTTTGTCACCGAGCATACCACTTTTATCGAAATAGACACCGTACACATTATCGGTCATTTTATCTATGTCGACACTTTATCTATGTCGTCATCGAGAAGAAGGCTTCTTCACGTACAATGAAGAGCATAAATAAGATCCTTTTTCAGTGTAACTAGGATTAGAGACCTTTTAATACGAGTCTAGCCATCACATATCTATTCAATATCTTGATTTTGAAACGTTTTGATTAGTCCGCCATTTTTTCTCTAATGACGTATTAATGTCACGTAACATTGATCATAGCATCTAGCGATCGTTGAGCTTACTTTTGTACGTTTTTTTTCTTTTATTTTTATTTTTATAAAAAGAAAAAGGTAAGGAGAAATTATATATTTTACAAGATTTTTTGGATGTAATTGCTGAACATAATTTTCAAAGCATTGTAATCATTCTCAGGATTGTAAACTAGTCTCGAAATTTTTCTACTCAGTCAAATGTTGATATGTCAACATCTCAAAAAGTAGAAGAATTAAATTATATAGAAAATTTTATATAGTATTATATAAAATTTTTATATAGTATTGCTGGTTACATAGTAACGAGTATTAAAAAAAATACACAACTTTGTAAGCAATGTATTAATAGTGTAAATTCTACAAATCAAAATTTTTCACGACATGCAAAATTAGTACGATTAAGAAGCTACAGATGACACTTTATTTTTTATTAATAATCAAACATTCGAAATGTTTAAAAAACTGGAATATATATTTAGAAAATATCAAAAATCTATTTGCAATAATAAGAAGTTTTTAGTTAATAAGTTTCTTAATATTTTAAGTAATAGTCACATCTTGCAATGTCATAATTTTAAATACAAAAATAACAAACAGATTTGCAATTTATAGATTAAGGATATCTAATAAAAAAAGAATTATTAAATATAAATATTATGACAGTAAGTCAATGGCAATGCAATAAAATAAATAAACTGTAATAAATTAAAATAAACTGTTAAACTTTGTTTGTTTAATTTCTTCCTTGTTCATCCAATAGTAAAATATCATTTTGCACTTATCATTGGTTACATGTTACATCACTGTTACAAAAATGTAATTACTGGCCAATATAATACTAGAAATTACTTATTTTGAATATTAGAAGCACTAAATATTATTGCTTTTAATATTCAAATTGAGTTCACCCGTCCCAAATGCGCACATTTTCAATCGGATACCATTCACATCAGCCGATGCCTAGGAATTTTCTAGTGAGCCACCTATCAAAAATTTTTTTTATTTAATCGACTAATCGGCAATGTGTCCGATTGGACCTCACCCTATTCGAATCGATATATGTTTCGTAAGTTTTTCTGAGATTATATATGTTCCATTATTTTATACGCTTGCGCTGAAGCTACCTCCTTTTAAATTAGAGAAAAAATGGCGGACAAACAAAACGCTTCAAAATCGAGTTTCTGACGGCTAAACTCTTACTAAAGAGTAGTGTCTCTAACTAGGAGTAGAAACACTATGAGTCCGTTCCATTTCACGTATCGAGCGCATAGATAGCAGACAATGCACTGCCCTAACAGCACGCGACATACTGCGCATCATCCCATTTTCGTACTGCTTGTACTGTGATTATCTGTAACGTACTGAGATGCACGCTAGAACATCACTGACAATATCATTCGGTTTTCTTTCGGTTTTCTTTCGCGCGCGCATATTCTCAGAAATTATGCAGCAGTACGTACGCTTTTTCATCGCACGCATATATTCTCAAGTTATACTCAGAGCTACGGAAATGATACGTATGCCTTTCTATGGCGCGCATATATTCTACAGACGTAATATTTGTCATGAAATATTATCGTCATAAATATCATTATTTAATCGTTATTTTTAAACCATTTTTAATAAATAAATAATAAAATAACATTATTAATTACTATCTTTTTTTAATTAACTAATTAACTATAATATATAAATAAAAAAAATATTTCGCATATTTAATACAATTATTAACAAATTCATAAACAAGTAAACAAAATGTATATAACAATTTATAAACAATTTTTATAAGAAAAATGATTCTCATTAAACATAATATATTCACGGCTTTATATATGTTTATTATGGCTTTAATATAATTAAATTATCTATAAGCATTATATATGCAATTGATTTTAAAATTGATATTGTTTATATGATAACATTAACATTCGACTGTTTATACGACAATAATAACATTCATTAATCAGATCTGTCATATTTTATGCCAAAATTCTGTATTCATTTATATCATTATTTCAGTAGCAGGTTTCATCACCTATTAGAAGTTAGCTCCTCATTTAGAATAACTTATTTTGAGAGTTGTACTGAATTGTGCTAGGTTTGTGCTACATTGTGCTCGAATTTTAAAACCGTAATGTGAAAAATGTCATAAAAAATGAAAAAAAACGACATTTTAAGCTAGCCTCCCACTTTGCGATTTTTTTAATTTTCTCGATTGTGCTAGATTGTGCTAGGTTGTGCTAACATTGTGCCAAAATATTATCTTTAAAAAATAATAACAATAGAAGTTATGATAAAAAATAGATTTGGGAAAAAAAATATATAAATGACATTTATTCTTATATCAGTCATCCAAAGAGCATGCAAATGCATATCTAACATATCTAACATATACTCGTTTAGCACAAATCGATACAATCGGCGGTTTCGTCAGTACAACGAAGGGCATTTTACTCTTGAACGCGACACTTCGCGCACGCATTTTTTATTAAAAATTTGGGTTTATAATTATTGTATGTTGATAATAATGCATATTTGAATTGTGCCCAGCACAACATTCGTCAGCACAACATTCGTCAGCACAACTAGATTCTATTTGGGTTCTGTTTGTAATTCGGGTTTATAAGCTGAGACACGAAGAATGCATTCAAGAAGTAAAGTGCCCTTCATATCGTGTGCTGACGGTGAAACCGACGTTGTGTCGATTTGTGCTAAGCAAGTATATGTTAGATATGCATTTGCATGCTTTTTAAATGACTGATATAAAAATAAATGTCATTTATATATTTTTTTCCCAAATCTATTTTTTATCATAACTTCTATTGTTATTATTTTTTAAAGATAATATTTTGACACAATGTTAGCACAACCTAGCACAATCGAGAAAATTAAAAAATCACAAAGTGGGAGGCTAGCCTAAAATATCGTTTTTTTTCATTTTTTATGACATTTTTCACATTACGGTTTTAAAATTCGAGCACAATGTAGCACAAACCTAGCACAATTCAGCACAACTCTCAAAATAAGTTATTTCTAAAAGTGGGGGGCTATTTTCTAATAGATGGTTTCATCCCAACATAGAAGTGAAGCAGCATTGAGTCAGGATCCCAAGTTGGATGGGTGGTTGTTTTAAAAACATGCGATAATACCAAGATAAAAGATGTTTCATCACTTTCTCTTATTTTTTTTAATTTTTTCATTTTTTTTCACTTATTTTCCGTAAGGAATGTCATGTATATTATAGATTTTTAGAGTGCTAACAATCAATATCAGAACGCAACCATAATCTACTGAAAACTTTTCATTTTCATCCTTTCCTAATTTCCTGTCATTATTCACTGCGAATATTCGCGGCGAAATTCCATAGAAGATGTTACCTCGGATATAAAAACGTACTTAGAACGTACTTAGTCGATCGCAGTACGTATGAGAATATTCTGAGATGATCGCAATATACGCATTGTGATCTTCTCAGAACATACTCAGAATATATGCGTGCTGTTAGAGTGCGGACATGGATATTATGCGCGCTTAGAAACGGAATGGTTTAAATGCGTTTGATACAATTTGACGAGAACAAAATTGATTAATCATATGTACCGTTTGCGAATCATTTAAATATCATGGATAATATATGGAGTGCAATAATTTTATTCTTTTTCATAAATGATGAGGAAGTTGAAAGTATTAATAATGATGATTCTGATAGTGGCGTGAAAATGAAGAATTTAATTTAGAAGAATAGAGATATTATATTTCATTTTAATGGTTAATACTACGTGGGGAGAAATGATCATATCAGAAAAATTATCCGATTATGTCGAAAGAGTTATTCCCAGCTATTCGAGAACGGTATTCAAAGAACATTTTCGGTGAGTAATAATTATTGAATTGAAATTGAAAAATAGGACGAAATTTTTCATTAAATAATATGATCATAATCTAGAAAAGTGACAATTATAAATAATTAAAATATATAGTTTTATACGTTGAACTTTTTTAAGAATGTTTCCTGAAACTTTCGAAATGGTACTGACATCAATCGGACCAGGATTACATGCCATTAATAATGCTCTTCGTAACAGAAAGTCAATCGGAGGAGAAGCAATTACTTATCGCTATTTGGTTTATGGCTACGCCTGATTCTTATAGGTACAGAGCTTTTTAATTCATCGATTAATGAATCGCATTATGTGTAAATGCAACTTTCCTCTATAAAAACAGCATTTGCGCATTATGTCATTAATCAATCGTTGAATTAAAAAAAACTCATATTATTACATATAAATATTATATAATAAAAGTACTTGACAATATATACATATATGAGATTTCATTCAAACAAATGTTTTTAATTCACATATCTTATATTTCAGATCTGTTGTTACAAAATTCGGTGTAGAAAGAGATACGGCTTTTCGGGCATTACGGCGAGTGACTTATGCTTTGCATTGTGTGGCATCTCGTTTTATTATTAAATGGCCGAGAGACCAAGTTGCTCTAGACGTGATGGATTCCAACAATTGTATAGTTTTCCTAATGTTATTGGTCATTGATGGAATTCATATTAAAATTCAAGCTCTAACTGAAGATGAAAACACATAAATAAAAAAGGCTTCCACTCCATTGTGGCGCCCTTGCCACCTACTTCCGCTGTGCCGCTTGGCGCGCCCGTCGCCGAGCGCCACCGTCCATCGAAGAAGCAGATGATTATACCACGACCAGTGTGGTAACTTCCACCTTTCTCCCCGTCGGCCACATCGGGTTGAGCGGCCATTACGCGGTTCATGCCTGCCATCGGATACACAACAGCCACACGTCTAGCGGAGGGAGAGAGGGAGAGAGTTTCAAGTATCATCCCGGTCGTCCGTGTCGTGCGAGTGTGTGACCGCGCCCTGTGTAGTGCCGGATTCTGTGCTGTGTCGCATTCGTGTCTGTGTCGTGCGACCACGTGCGGCGTTCCACCTGTTGCGCCGAGTGCTCGCCGCCCCTCTCGCTCTCCGTGCGCCTCCACCTTTCTCGCCTGCGCGCGAGACGCTGGTGCGCCCGTTCCTTCTCTCGCTCGCGTGTGACCGGCTGGTTCTCGCTCTCTTTCTCGTGTGTGTGTGCTGCTTTTCATCCACGCTCGCGTCTATTCTGTTCCGTCCCGTCTTATTCTGTATTTTATCCGCGTTCTGTGCAATCGGCAAGGTTTCGCGTCTCGCCTTCTGCGTTTCTCTTTTGCGTGCGCCCTGTTTTACCCGCGTCCGTGTTGCGTTTCATGCTCGTCTGCGTTGCGTCTGTCAGTCATCTGCATTTCTCTTTTGCGTCGCACCCTTTCAGTTTCTTTAATCAGCATTAGGCGTGCGGCAGCCGCCCACGATCTCCTGCAATTTGCGAGCGTTCTGCGTGGCTACGCAGCATGCGTCTTCCAGCGATCCGCCTCCTCTTTCGCGAGCAATCTTTTTCAGCGTTTCTCTTTTTGTTTCTCTTTGTTTCAGCATTTTCTAGTCTCGAACGTTCCTTCGCGTCCGCGGTGCCCTTGCAGGCATTGTACGTTCCGCAAAATGACAATTGTCATGCGCATTTTTTGTGTTCGCGGTGTCCTTTTGGCATTGTATCGTCTCGATTTTCTTTATCCTGTGATATTAGCCATAAGCCATGTAAATATCGCGTTCGCGTTTTTGTTTAGCAAATAACCGACTGTCTAGAAATTATTATCCGTTGTCTGTTGTAATAAACGAGACCAAGTCAGAACTTCGCGAGACTTTGCTGACGACGGTCGAACTTCAAATCGTGGTATTACTTAGGTGTCTTGCAACCTTCCTGCTTCTCCAACTTTTCAGAGATCAGCCTCATCAAATCGTTGAATGCTTCATAAAGTGGTTTCGTGGATGCTTTCTTTCCAAATATTGAATCCATTATCTATTAAAATAAATACATTGTTTTATTATAATATATTTTCGTTACTTGAATTACCAAAAAAAATCGCTAAATACCTCCGAGAAGAATTGCCATGAATTTTGACTATTGCCACTTTTTTTATTTTCATCAATACTATTTCGGTATGTTCGTTTCAGTCCAGATAATTTATTTGAACATTGTTGCCCTGTCAAATTATAATTGATGTTTGTTTTCCTTATTGCGGCAATCTCTTTCCACAAAATATTGTGCTTTTTAAATGAGATATTAAATATTTCTTCCTTTTCTCGGTATAACTCCAGCAGGAGATACACTGCGCTATCACACATAGGTCACATAAAATTTTTTCCAACTTCATCTAAAAATATCATTAAAATATTGAGATCAATATATTCACAGCAAACACAGACATATAACTATTATAAGACACTAACTAACATATATGTTACATGTGTTTGCTGCGCAATTATTGAATATGAAAATATATCCTTTAAAAAACAAAATTTAAGAGAGAATACTAAAAAAACAAATCTGTTTCTTTGTTGTCCATGATTTCATTTGGTGGATCAATAGGCAGTTTTTTGGTGTGTCAAGTTCAGTTCCTGCATTTTTATTTAATGCATCGTTGATTAATTGCAAGAACTTCTGATCTGTATACATAGAAATGATTTATTAATTTCATTAATATATTTCTTCATTTCAAATTAAAATTACGATTGCAGTTAATAAAACCTAAACCTTTTAAAGTTTCAATATTTACCTCTTGTCGGTTTTTCGGCAGTTTCACTATTCATAAGCGTTATAACCTTATCGTTTAATAGCACTGGAAATTCTACAAAATTTTTCATTGTGGAAACAGCTTAATGATGAACGAATGTTATACTTGTTTATTATAAAACTTATATGTGCAGACGCGCATAGCCTACCACAAGTTTTACTTATAGTACCTGAGTGTCGGTCCACAATAAGTATTTAATCTTTAAGTCGTAAGAAATTGACCAATCATAGTCGATTATTCTTTTCATATTCGATTATAATTGGTCAATTTCTTATTTTTTAAAGCTTAAATCACCTATTGTGGATCGACACTAATGCACATAAGGGTGGTTCTCCATGCAGCGTAACTTGCGTAAGCGTAAACTGCATCAACCAATCAAATCGTCTAATAAGAGTCTAGACGGATTTGTGTAGAGTAGCTGAGACAATTCGGTTGGATGACGCAGTTTACCCTTAAAGATTAAATACTTATTGTGGATCGACACTTATGAGTGAAACGGAATACACCCTATAATAAGAGACTGGTCATGAAAAAGCAACTTTTGATTGGTCCGCCATCTTTGGCACTTATTTTCAAATACATTAATTACATTAATTTTAAATTGTAATATTATAATTTAAAAACATAAGCGTTTTAAAGGTAATAAAATGTGTATATTTATAAAACTTTATTTTACATAATTATATTACCAATTTATTAATATATTTATTAATATATCATATTTATTAATATATTTTTTTTAATATTAACAATTTTAAATTTATTACTATTTATTTATTTATCTTTGTTATTTATCTTTTTTTCGCTATTTATCTTTTTTAACACAAGAGCAAAAATTAATATAATACTATTATACTACTGTTACATTATAATATTTTTAACTTTTTGATACACAATTGTCAAAACGATCCTCTGTGAAATCAATACAATGATACAGCTATTCACAAAGTTAGCGCAGCGAGAGAACCCATCGCGAAAAAAACGTCAACAATAAACTTTAAGGAAATTTCGAGAGATGCAAGTATCGATATCATGCCTTTTTTTAGAATGGATTGTTATACATATTTATTATTATTATTATTATAAACAAACTTTATTACAATATAAAATAAAATTTAAAATTTTATTTAAAATTAAGTATTAAAAAAATGAACATCCACCCATTTTTTATATTGATTTATCACAATTAATTAATTTATGACTACAATACTACTTTTGCAATTTTAGTATCTCTATTATTTAATAATATATTATCGCATATTATTAATAATATATACACGCTTTCCACGTGTTTAATACACATGTCCAATATATTTCACTAAATCATTAAATCACTAAATCAACACTAAATCAATGCACATGCAAATAAAAAATATCGCTATTGGTTAGAGTGAGATGATGTATACTTCTTTCTTTCTCGTAGAATTTAATCCATGGCAGATCAGAGTCTCTGATTGGCGGATCAGAGTTGTGGCCAGTCTCTGATTGTAGTGTCTCTAGTTCCGACTAGTTCGTCGTTGAATCTGCCGAGCCTCTTGAGAAAGAACAGACTTCGACTTTCGCATCTTTCGCTCGTTTACCTATTTGTCTGTTTGCTCGTTCGTCCTTAATTGTGATGAATTCCGGCGAATTGCGGCTGATTGCGATCAATTGCGATTCATTGCAATCACGATAGACAACGTCAAACGGTTAAACGGTTAAACGCTCTGTTTCTGAATTATTCGATCGGGGAAATGAAAAAATTTGGAATGGAGATTTCGGAGCATCATCACCGAACTCGTCCTTCGTCTGCTTATTGATAAAAACATTTGTGTTTTGTTGTCATTCGTGATATTTTTTTTGGCGCGTTTAATATCGTACGTAAACATAACACAAATGCGATGACCAATGTTTCTGGATGTATTGAAGGTGTGTATACAATACGGATTTTCTGTTTATTAACCTTCCTTTTTCACTGTGTATCACAAGGCAATTTTACTTAAAATTTTCCTTTACTTGATATACGGAGATCGAATTGATTGCAAATTAATTATTAATTTAATTGTTACATTTTATTGTAATTAAAGTACTGGAAAGTAAAAGTAGAGTATCTGCTTTTTACGCAAATTTACAATATATTCCTACAACAATGGATGATTGATCTCAAAATTCTAATTCTAAAATATCGACAAATTGTTTATGATATTAAATTACATACAATTTGTAAACAAATTCAAACGTAATAATAAATTATATATGAAATATCTTTTATTTTGTTAAGTATGCTTCATATTTTCTTTTATTCTATATATATTGTAACGCTTTTTTCTTTTGTAGATATTAACTGTAAGAACAGTGATAATGGATACCTTATTTACTCAAAATATCCCTGATGAAGCAGAAGACATACCGCAAACAGATGAGCCAGTCTGGATTCTTGGCAGAAAATACAACGCTATAAAAGGTCTAATAAATGATCAAAGTGTCAAATATTTTTGACGAAGTAGATTATAAGATGTTAAATTTTAGAGCTCGATGTGATACGCAGAGATATTCGATCTAAACTATGGTTTACTTATCGCAAAGGATTTGTTCCTATTGGTGGCTGCAACTCTACGTTTACAAGTGATAAGGGTTGGGGTTGTATGTTGAGATGTGGACAGATGGTTCTGGCTCAAGCTTTAATTTCATTACATTTAGGTAATTATATGTAATATACATGATATTTTAACAACATAAATGATAATAAGATTAATTTTATAATGTAATCCTAATTCTTTAAATAATTTGAATCAGATTTTTTTGTCAAAATGAAATCAACGATATATATATTGTAAGATCATTAAACATTTAAAAAAGGCAAATATTTATTTTACCAACGTATTAATCAATATCACTTTCTGAAATATAAGAAAATTTTATTTTATAATATTAACTAATTTTATTTTCTTCATTTAACTTTGTATGTAAATAATTCTTGCTATAATACTGTGAAAAATTTATATGTAATAATGGGAAAGTTATCTATTATATAACTATTTTATATTTATTTATTTATAGGTAAAGATTGGCAGTGGATGCCAGAAACAAAAAATAACACATACCTAAAGATTTTAAGACGCTTTGAGGACAAAAGAGCTGCTGCTTTCTCTATTCATCAGATTGCATTGATGGGTGCATCTGAAGGAAAAGAAGTTGGACAATGGTTTGGTCCTAATACCATTGCACAAGTATTAAAGTATGTTGGAATAAAATTTTTAATTTAAAACAACTCAACATTATCTTTCATTATGTAAAATTTGGAAAATATTTATCTTAATATATCCAATCAAAATTTTATTTGAGACAAAATATAAGAGAAATGTTTTAAGTTATTTAACTTATTTATTTTTTTATTTATTTACTTTTTTTATGTATATATCTTTTTCAGAAAATTAATTGTATATGATGAGTGGAGTTCCCTCACTATACATGTTGCACTAGACAATACACTAATAATTAATGATATCTGTAAGTACATAGTGATATTAAAATTGTTTTGTAATAAAGAATACATAATCTTGTAACCAATAAAGAATAATAATAAATTGCAATAGAATAACAAAAACATAGTTCTAATCGATCAATGAAAAATCAAATACATAAACATTTAAAATGTTAATTATATATTGCAAGCGCACACATATATCCTTAAAGTTTATATATATATATATATATATATATATATATATATATATAGTAAA